GGTTTAGGGTTTAGGGTCTCTGAAGGCCTACGGGGGTAATCTGGAGATTTCTGAGGATAAGGCCCTCCTGGTGCACCCTGATTTGTGTAGCGACGCTTGGAAGAACTCCGGAAAAACCTTGGGTTTTGAGAAACATCCATATGGGGTATCCTAAATGGGGGAGGGGGTGCCCCTCGGACGGACAACCTAAACCCTAAACCATCAGCCCTAAACCCTGAACCCTAAACCCCTAAATCCTAAACCCTAAATCGGGAGATCAAGAGGACGGCCCCTTAAGTGCTGACAAGTGATACTTTTCAAAAGACCTAGGCCCTCTGAGTCTAAACCCTGAAAGGCTAAACCTCTAAGGGTTTAGGGTTTAGGGCTACCCAAATTCGTTTCCAATAATTTCCAATATTGTGGTCGTATTCACTTGCACACTTCATAATTCCCGCACAATCCACAACCATACCCCAGTATGGCCCCTTTTACAATCTACATCCATGTAGCCTATCTACATGCATGACGTAGCCATATATCACCCTTGACCACCCTCTTCAAGGGACCTTACTGTAAATGTCCTCTGGAAAACTAGATCCGTAGGCCCTAGACCCTACACCCTACACCCCAACCCCCAAAGCCTGTAGTGTCCGCAGCCCCAAAATGGCCATGAGGTAGGCTCCCATCTTGCCCCTTAAGAATGTATATTCCGTGTATTCCGCATGGTCCAACCTTTACTTTATAGACCAGCCCCGTACCCCTAATGTCCCTTTTTGTCCCTTGATCTCCCCAAATGTTGGCAGTAGCTCATATCCCAAATCCCTGAACCTTTGTCGCGGAAGCCCGAAACCCTTAAACCCTAAACCCTATGACGTAAACCCTATGATCAACCCTGTATCATGTTCGAACCCTAAACCCTACAACGCTAAACCCTAAAACCTAAAACTCTAAATCCCATAATCCTGAATCTTAAAATCTTGAAACCCCAAACCCTGAAACCCTGAACCCTGAATCCTATAATCCAAACATTGACCCCATAACCCTACATCCTACAACCCTCAATCCTTAAAACCTGAATCCTACAACGTCCTATAACCCTAACCCTAAATCCCAAAGCACTAAACCTATAATCCTATACCCGAAACCCCTAAACCCTTAATTGGAACAGCAAGATGCTAAACCCTAAACCTTTAGGGTTTAGGGTCTAGGGTTCTATAATCCTATACCCTAACCCTGATTTTCACTAAGTCCCACCTGGCCATGGCTTCGCGCTCGAAAAGCTGGGCAAGCTCTGTGCCTCACATCTTTTGGTTCAGACGTTTAGTCAGGGTTTAGGGTTTGGGCTTTAGGATTTAGGGTTTAGCATTTGGGGCTTTGCCGCTTGCATGGCCATACAGCATCGCAAGGTGGAAATCCGGGTTTGGGGCTTTCAGGGTTTAGGGAAAGGAGTTTGGGGTGTAGAGCTTTTAGGCGGTTTAGGGCGCAGGGTTTTCAGGTGATTAAGGTTCAGGGATTACGGCTCAGGGTTCGGGTTTAGGGCTTTAAGTTGCCACCAACACTGACACTTGGTTGGGGTGGTGGTGCCAAATAGTGTAGCAGCAGTGGTAGTAGTAGTAGTAGTAGTAGTAGTAGCAGCAGCAGCAGCAGCAGTAGTAGTAGTAGTAGTAGTAGTAAAATAGCAATGAGAGTAGTCTTAGTCTAGTCCTAGTAATGGGCAAACAATGCGTCGG